ACATAACAAAAAGTCCCCCCAGCTCTTAGAACATGTATTCTACTATTAATACATTAGTATTTCCGAATGCTAACTACTATTAACAAAATTGAAGAGATCACCAAATATTTAATATGCAACTATCAAAACAGATCAATGTTCTACCAGGTGAGGGGGAGATGTTTATTTCTGAAAGATACTCCATTTGTGTTCCAGGACCAGAGAAGGTAGAAAGTATCCTGATTACCTTAAAAAAGCTATGAGTATAATTTTAATATCAAAATCCGAGGGCAAAAAATTAAAGATAAAACCACATTCTAACTCTAACTTATAATTATAGCTGCAAAAGTCTTAAACAGAGTTCTAGTAAGCTAATGTAAAGTATTCCTTTTAAGAATAACATACTACACGAAGTCAGGTCCACCCTAGGAATGGAATAAGGTTTGGTATTTAAAAATTCATCAGTGACATCAACAGGCAAAAAGTTTAAGATCATCTCAGTATAAAATGAAAATCATTAATAAAAGAAAATATAGTCTTGTTATAAAATAGTAAAATAACTGGGAGAAAGATCTTTATTTTTAACATTGATTTTAATATTAACTGTAGGTTTACAGTCAATGAGAATAAATAATGAGAATAAAACAAACATGCCAACTATCACCATTAATTTATAATATTGTTCTGGAAAGTATGACAAATGCAGTAATAAATGATAATTAGATCCTCAGAATTAGGGGTTGGCTAGATATAAGAGATATGTACTAAAATTAACAGATTTCCTATACATCAAGAATAACAAGTTGTATTTATGAACAAAACATCCAGTTCACCCGGACAAAACAAGAATCACATGCCTAAAATAACCTCAGTAAATAGTCTGGTGCATGTATATACACATATATAAAATAGATTTAAAACTATACTAAGCTATATAACAGGACTTAAATTAATGGAGAAACATACCATGGTCCTTAGTGAGAAATCAATTTTATTAATCCACTACAACCTATACACTTACCAATTTCAATTGAAACTCTAACAAGATATTTTTGAAACTTAACAAAGTAAATCAAACTTCATGTGAAGAAATAAATTGATAAAAACAGCTAATTCCCCTCTCTACACACCACTGCTATGTTACTACTTTAATTCAGACTCTCATTCTTCCCCTTGATTATTGGACACACCTGTTCACTGAGCTCCCTGCCCGGGACGGAAGAGGAAGTTTCCAATTTAAAATTTGAACACAAGGTCTTTCGCTGTCTCTGCCTACCTTCTCTGGCCTTATCTCATCATCCTCCTCCCTTTCATTCCAGGTTTATATCACTAACAAAAGCTCCTAGAACTGAATGAACAAGCAGTCTGGCCTTAGTGTACCTTAGTACCCATCATCATCTCTTTCTGTAAAGCCCATCCTTTCCTCCTACCCTTCAAAATTCAGCTTGAGTGTGTCTTCTTCCAGAAAGCCTTTCATGACCTCCTCTAGTCGTAATTATAGCCCCTACTCTAAACTTCCACAGAATCTTGGGCACTGAACTATGAAGGCATATATCACGCTGTTCTATCATCAGTAATATAACTGGCTGTTCACTCCTACCAAAATATAAGCAGCAGATAAAACAAGTGGGGAGATAATGAAGTAAAGGGAGTAATGGAATGTAGAGATTATGAGAAAACATAACAGGATTTTATTGGAGACCAGAGAAGGAAGGCATCTACGTTAAAAAAAAAAAAAAAAGGACCTCAACCTTGAAGTGATAAAGAAGGCTGCCAAAATGTCTGTTCTAGAGCTAAAGGACACCATTCAGAAGCAGAACAAGCAAAAGGACCCTACTTATCTACAACTTCAATTAGTCAAAGTACCAAGCCCTAAAGAAGGAAAGACAATAAGTTTTGCCCTTTCTGGTTCTTACCTTCTTCTAGGGATGGGAAGAATCTAGTCCTGGTTATTGAGAAGAGTTCCATCAAAAGTAAAAGAGATATAATAAGCAGAGAAAAAAAGAAAGAAAAAAATATGCTTGCCAACTCAGATTCCAGAGCCTGATATATTAATGGCTTAAAAAAAAAAAATTTTTCAGGCAAAAAAAGAATAGTAAGAACCCCATGTAGTCCCCACACTCTGCTTCCCATGCTTCCCTTAAGAAATGGAGGAAGGCACAGGAATGAATTTTATCTACTCTCACCCGTCAGTACTTCTCTCTAGAAAGACAATATATAGAACAACGGCAGAAAGACGGTAAAAGTGTCAAGGCTCTAGGAATTACTTTGAGTAGCCACGATCCCACAGAAGGTAACATACTATGGATGATCAATTGGGCAAGAGACTAAATTTTGCCAGGGAGCACACGTCATTTACTCTCACATCTACCAGGAGCCAGTTCTACCACCTTAGAAAACGTGCCACTTACGGACACTTGGTTTTAGACATTCTCTTCACACCTACAATGAGACTGGGAGTACAAGAAACAAATTCCTATTTTCATCTCATCTGACCCTTTATCAAAAAAGAGGAAAAAATGAACCATCCTTCCATGCACTCAAACACCTACTAATTCACTCTACAAATGAAATGTGGGCACAGACTGTTAGGCACGTGGCAGGGCCTAGGAGAGCAGGCGTGATCCCTGGTACATAGGCTGTACGATTGAATGAGAAGATAATAAGAAACAGAGATACTACTAAAGTTCTGTGATTGGGAGGAAGCACCAACTACAGACAAAGGAATCAGGACAGGTCGCCAAAAGGAAATGGTATCGAAGATAAAACTTCAAAAATGAGAAACTGGCCACCAAAAATGAGTATGGAAATAAAAATTGAGAAAGGCTGGTGCAAAAGATGTGTGAAGGAAAGGCAGACAACAAGAACTGTGGAAAGACAAGGCTGAAGAGGTAAGTAGAGCCAGACTGTTCAGAGCCTACAGATCATGTTTTGAAATTTGACTTTTATTTTCAAAACCTTAAGAGATGCCAATGAAGTGTTTTAAGCAAATAAGTGCTCTGGCCAGACTTGTAATTTTTGAAAGCCCTTGGGCTGCAACATGAAAAGTAACCTGAAAAGAAGACCAGTTAGGAAATGGTGAAGCCAATCAGGTGAACGAACAACTATTATAAAAGAAAACAGAAAGCAAAAGATACAGAAAATACTTAAGCATCATGACCAATAGTCTGGAAAAAGAATAACGATGTTTAAAATTAAAAACAGCTACACAATTATACCCTAGATTAAATCAACCCCTGCCATTGCCCTGTAATTGCCTTACTATCCTTTATCCAACATCATTCAACTTCTTAACCAAATAAACCCTCCTTCCCCACTGTTCTAAATATATCAACCAGTTGTCCAGAATGGTAGCCACCTGACATACACGGTTATTTAAATTAAAATAAAATATATGTTAAACTTTAGTTCCTCAATAGCAACAGATAGCTAGTGGCTACTGAGAACCCAGCACTCAGTAGACTTCCCTTACTGCAAAAAGGTCTGTGGAACAGTGTTGGGCTTTAGATATAACTAAGTCTGCCATGTTACTAGGTAAGCCTATTTAAAACAACACATCTATCTGAGAAGGCACCTGTGAAGGCAGACTCACTCACTGTCTCATGCCCACATCATATATATTAATAACCTTCGGTGTAGTGAAGAATTATGGTTACAAACCACAAGACAGGCTCTATGTTTTGGCTCATTAATCCTCACTATGCTCCAAAGAAATAGAAAAGCAGCAGGCATCACCCATGTTTTATAGGTGAGGACACCAAGGCACAGAAATTAACCTGCCTGAGGCTATAAAGTCAATAATGGAGTCACAAATAAAAGTTGGATTCCCTAACGCCCTGACCAGTGCCCTATTCATTAAAGTAGTCATGGCTGATTTAAGGACCTAAGAATAGAAACTATTCAGTTTCACCTGACCCTTGGAACAATTTACTTATCAAATGGCTTGCTATACCCACAGCAGGGACATATTTGTTAGGTCCGTAGATATACATGGACCTAATGTAATGTGTGTGATGTAAAAAAGCAGAAAAATTAAAAAATATATGTATCCCCTGAGTTTGCCTCAATTATCTTATCACATATGATAGGAAATAAAGGATATTAAACACACTTACTAAAACTAACAGCATCAAGGTATAGTACATTCCTCCATTATTAATCTGTTTTTCAATTGTGTTATAGGGTTACATATAAAAAATTACAACCTAAAAAAAAAAAAAATTATTACCTAGAAGCTCTGCATTTTGTAATTCTTATTTGCCTCTGTAATCAGAGTAAGGCTGACTTTTTGTGTGGCTCTTTCCAAATCTACAGAAGCAATAGGGATGCAGAGAGGCAATTCTTGTGTTTTTATTTCAACTACCTTATTAACTGAAAAGAGTAAAATCATATATAAGGAGACATGAACTAAGTTACAGATTAAAGATATAAAATCCACTATAGCATTTGCTTGACATTCTTTACAATAACAATTTTAAAATTCAGCCACCAGCATTCACTAATGCTTCTCTGTGCCCTGACACTGCAAAACAATTTACCCAGAGCTTCATTTGAATGATGTGAAAAATCTAAGAAATAATTTGACTGCCCTAACATTTGAATTCTGATATATTTTAACTGCTGTTATACTAAATATGCAGAAAAACACAGAAAAGGAATGGCATATTTAAGAATCCTCAAGTATTGGAAAGCACATAAGTTATTTCTACATTTCTAGTTCTTTTCTTAATAAGTATGAATTAATCTACAGAAAATAAAAATTAACTGGATTTGTCCAGAAAGTCAAAGCTTTCAAAATAAATCTGACAACTATTTATGAATTAAAAGAGCATATCTCCCTCAAATATGTATCATAAAGGAAAAGGGCATCAATGCTGATGTTAAATCCAGAATGGTCACATCTAACTCCAGTTGTGAAAAAGTAGAGAGCCATCAACTTGAATAATAAAGTCTCTGCTTCATCATAGACCTTGATTCAGGAGTACAAGTCAATGAAAAAGTTTCTACACTGAACTACTTACACAGCGTTCCTGGAGGCTCCATAGGAAAGTAACAACTTGACTATATCCATGTGCCCATTCTTGGCTGCATCGTGGAGTGGTGAGTCGTTCTGATACCCAGTGGTGTTCACCAATGCCTTGTGCTGGAGCAGCAATTCCACTACCTTCAGGTGCCCATGACTGCAGGCCTCATGCTAATTAAGTAAAAAGAAAAGGAGTAAGAAGCGTGATGAGGAAGAACAATAGATAATATCATAAAATCATCCTTTAGAAAAATAAATGTGAATCTTAGTAATTGGTTCTTACCTAAAAGTCATACAGACCGTAAGTTGTTGACAGAGTAAAAGCCACTATTATAATCTTTGTGATATGATACATGGTGATCAAGATCAATGAAATTCATGGATTCATCTGAGCCTTGCATCAAGTGCTCTTTGTTTAGAAGAAAATAGAGCTTAAAGCAATTATAGCTATTAAATTGTTCTATAATAAGAAATTTAAAAGAAGAAAAAAAATTTAGAAAGTATTTAACCAGATTGTGCATAAAATTTGGAATTCTCCAAGGCTGAATAGAATTCACTAAATCAGGTGCTTAGCCATAAGCTAAGTAGTTCACTAGCATATATATATAACCACTCAATAAAGCAAATATCCCAGAATGAGTATGTATAAGACAAGTCTTTCTTATTTGCTGAAGCTACAGATTACTGTACGGCTGGTGTCAATGATAACTGAAATAACACAGAGTAGGTGTTCAAAAAGAACTTACTGAATGAATGTCATAACTGGTAATAATGAAATATTCAAAGATGTCTCACGTGCAAATTTTTCCTTATGTCTAATAAGCTGCTGACAATGCCACCCTGCTGTATTCTAAAGTCTCTGGTATGTGGTATTTTTTAAATGCATCTACTCAACTCATAATAGGTAATACCACACTTTACATTTGTAGGTTTATTTCAAGGAGAAAGGAATCCAAATTAGACATCAGGTCCTCAAAATCACTCACCAACTTTTACTACAATTTGCCTTAGTGGCTTAAAAAAAAGTTAACCTTTCTTTGAAAAGGTTAGCCAGGCCTGTATGTAGAGTCCAAACAAAAAAGAGACTCTGATCCAGACCAAATCCTCTCAGCTTAAAATTTGGCAAGAAGTTATTATTTACAACTTTAAACCTTTTTAATACCTGGCCTAATGAGCATCTCCCAATTCCTGTGAATTTCCCGTCCACAGGATAAGGAAATCCACCTCATCTGCTGACATGTCCTTGGCTGCATTCAAATCATATACTTACTAAAATAATTAGTCTATATGGCATGTGTTCCCATGTATTTGTGCCATTGTTTTCCCAGACTATTCTTCATACTGCATTTTAGTAATAATAAGCAAAAACTTTTAAAAATGATTAATGAAGCAAAGACTTCTACCACCTCTATATATTTGGACAGGGGACATAAGTGAGGCTGTGAGAGATCCTCAGGTAGAATCATTGACTTGTGATACATCCCTAACCAGTTCCTCTGACCTCTCTTTGCTCCACTAAATGTTTCCAATGACATGCAGTGCTGCAGAATGAAGTCATTTGCCGGTTGTGGCAGTTAACCTCTCTGTATATTTGCTAAATTCAGCAATATGGTATAACTGGTTTCCTAATTCTAAAGGTAGTCAGTCAAAAGGTAGCTCACTTCATACCTGTCACAATTGAAAAACTATATGAAAAAATAACCATATTCTCTTATTTGGTGAAAAATATAAATTCTTCAGATTAAGAAGAGTGTATATATGGCAGAGGATGATATATAGACAACTACATAACTATAAACTATAGTAACTATAAAATATAAAGAGAATGGAATGGGAATAAAAAACAAAGAGAAAACTACCAATGGTGTCCATCCAGCATGGTCTTTAACGTTTGGGTCGCTTCCATTTTGTAAAAGGTATTCAACAGAAGGTACGTCGCCCTAGTACAACAAAATAAAAAAATAAAAAGAAATTAAAAATCATCAAGGAAAAAAATTATTGAGATTTTTAAAAGATTCTGCTTCAAGTTAAAATAAAACTTAAATTCTTTCTCTTATGCCTATTGCTCATGAATTAATAAATAAGATATATATGTATGAACTGTTCTGAGGTCATGGAAATCATATGGCCCATCCTTGAATACAGAGTACAAAATCTCTGCTATTAGCAACCCATACCAATATTCATTTCAAAATACCAAATAAAGGACACTAGCCAAAGATCATTTGATCATAATAAAGTTTTTAGAGTCATCATTTTATTTGTGAAAAATATCCTTTTGAACATACATGAAAATGATTTCTGAGTACTGTTTAAAACAAAATTAAAGCTAAGAGAGCTGCTCAGTGAAACCAACGTTAAAACTGCCAAAAACTGCTGTCTTATGGGCTGTTACTCTATTTATCCTTAATATACTTAGTTTATATTTATCTTATTTGCTCAAAGATATTTTTTCCAGGCAGAAGCAAGGCTTATTTTCTCCAAAAATAACTAACGGAGCTTTCTCTGAAAAAGGCTGAATAAAAAATAAATTATCTTTGACAAGTTACTTATGACCATGTCGTGTTTTGTGAAGCACTTCTTTAGGGAGAACGAAATCTCTTTCCTACTCCCAGCCCTGACACTCTTTTGAAATGACTTTTTTTCCTACTGGTTGATAATGTAGAAGTCCCCTCAATACAGTAACATCTGCTTTTGTTTGTTTGTTTGGGGCTACCTTTCAAATCCAGCATATCTTATGATGGTAGCTTACCTAGTGTTCTAAAAACCAAATCCACATGCAACATATATTTTTTATGTTCCTAAATTAACAAAATCACTTTAAATATCCCATGGACCTAAAAAATAAGCATTATATGTTTCAAATCAAAAGCTCTAGTTTAAATAAAAAACACTTTCCACAGTTCCTGAGGGGTGCAAATTCTAGACCTCTAGTACGAGTTAACATGTATTTAGCAGCTTTTGCTCTATATTCAAGCCAGTTCCAAATGAGCTCAGGAACATCTATTAAGACATAATTTTGAATTTTTAAAAACAATCCCATGAATATTGGGGCAGATGAACTACCAGAACCACACACATTCCCAACATGAAAATAAACATAAAATGTATCCAAAAACACTTCTTGAAAATTTCTTCATTCTCATTCTACATGGTAATCACAAAATCATATTCACCTCAAGAAGCCCATAAAATAATATAAACACCATTGTGGAATGGAAGAGTCACATGGGAACAGTCGTCATATAGGAACAGAGTGACAATTTAGAGACTGAAAGCAGAATCTCATAAGGTTGCTAGACTGGTATTCTTTCATATCATCTCTTCATATAATCAAAGATGTCTTCTGTTAACATTCTACTCCTAGACTTCTCTGAAATGTATAGTTGATTTGCAAACTGCTTACTTTTTATACCCAATCTGCTTTCCCTTTCCTAGTACTTAAAAGTTTGTCATATTTTCATCCTACTTTATGTAAATTTAATGGCATGCACATAAATAAAATTATGATAATTAGATAGAATCCATAGTAACTGAGCTTGAACCAATATAAGATTTCCAAAAAATAAATTAACTTCTGCTTCTGATTTCTTTAAATTACTTTCTTCTGTAATAGAATATTTTCTAAGTAATAAGCACTCACTTTTAGATTCCTCACAACTTAAAAAAAATTGAGATATTTTTAAATCGCAGCAAGAAACAAAAATTATCTAAGGAAAGCATTTACCAAGGCTTATAAGAAATTTTAAATGGATTTGGTTATTTTGAAGTAAATAAGGAAGCAAGTACATCACACTGAATTTTCTTATTGCTAAGCTTTCATTTAAAGGAAAGATTCTTCACACATTTGTATATACTATAACAATATAAATTAACTTTCCAAAAACACACACACACACCTTTTTCCTTATTATAAAGGTTAACATTTCCAAAATTTTAACAAACATCTTTATAAAAATAGTACAAAACATTTCAATTAGCACAATAATAACTAGTTACCCCAAATGGTTAAGCTTTTCCACACAAATGAACTGACCAAGTATCTTAAACTTCTCCTTTTAGCAACTAGGTGTCATTAAAAAATATATATCATCTCGAATGGAGTTCTAAAATATATTAAATACTTTCTTGGCTTCTTAGTCAGTTTACTGAATAAACTAATTTCACAGATGATTCTGACAACCTAGTCACTGTGACAATAAATTACTGGTTTCCGAAGGTGGTGGGTGACAGAAGGAAAAAGGAATACTGATTCTGAGAGGCATTCTAGAAATTAAAATCTTGAAAATATCACTGATGCCAGTTTGTTTTTGAGTCTTTTGTTTCTTTTTCAGGAAGCTAGTATGAAGGACACGTAATAATGTGACTTTACACACAATATAACAAGACTGCCTTAAAGATAATGAATTACAAAGTCAAACTCTGAAGGAGAATCCTCATGAGGGATTTTCTCTCTACCCAGAAGATCCTCGTTACCTTTGTTATGTTAAGCACATCATGCCCTGCAAGGTGCCCTCTAAATATTATCTATTATGTCTGCATAACAAATATATCATATGACATGCCAACTTCGAGCCATTCTTGGTATTTCATAATATGTTTGCTACTGTAGCATGAATTATGAGTAATCATTACCACTTTAAGAATCTGTACTAGAGAACTTTGGGGAGGTTTTTCCCAGCCCCAACAAATTATCCAACATAGGTGACATTATAGAGTAATAAATCAAAATTTTCTCTATGTCTAGAGGAATGTCAAATACTAACGTATGTTTTTTCCATTAAATCAGAAAAATAAACAATATAAGTGTTTACCCTAGTTTCTACTTAGGCATAAGGCTTTTTCATAAAATCTCTCATTAATAACAATGTTCTCAGCAGCAATTTATCCACAGGTGACATATATATTCACATAGAAACACAGGGAATAAAGAGCCTAATGGATCTCAACTTATGTTCTGGTTAAATAAGAATATTCACAACATCCCAAACATTGTATGCATGAATAGTCTGTTTGAAATTCTATAATGTAATATAAGTATAAATAAGGTATTCAGGAATAATCCTGTGTAGAATTTGCATTTAAAAGGTGTTGAATGTCCAAAAACTAGTTGGCTGACCAATA